TTTATTTAATGGCATTTGACAGGTCCTTGAGCCTCTATGTATTCATTTAACAGATATTTGCTGGGTGTCTCCCATATACTAGGCTTGGAGTTGGAGATATAGTGTTGAGCAAATACAGTCCACGCCCCCACGGAGCTTATGTTTAATGGAAGAGGCAGGCAATCATCACATAAATATCCGACTTCAAATTGCTATGTCTTGTGAAGGGAAAGAATAGAATGCCATAGGAAGAACATATCTAGACTGGAGCTAAAACGGGAAGCTTGCTTGAAGAAATATTTGATCTGAGATCTAAGGGAGGAGTAGATCTTAACCAGATGAAGATGGAAAAACATGGATACAGACCTAAATAGCACTATTATTCCATTCAATCAATCTCTCCCTTTCCCCGCCTCCTGTCTGCTCCTCCTCTCTATCTCCCTCCCTCTTGCCTTCCGCTGAGGCATGGACATGGACAGCTTAAATGCACAGCAATCCAACAGTGTCTTTAGATGTTAACACCACACGCAGGTTAGGAGTGTGATCTGTTGTCTGCTGTCTTTGTTCACTGTTCTAACCCTCATGGCTATAACATTGCTTGCCATGGAACATGTACTCAAATATTTGTTGAAAGAAGTAATTAATCAATTATATAATTAGGTACACAGAAGGTAGGAGGGAGTTACAGGAAGGCTAGTTCATCTTAGGATGAAGATAAACTTTCAAATAATTAGAGACATTCAAAGATAGAAGGCAGCCTAGTATAATAGAAATATCTCTGGACTTGGAGTGAAAGAAATTAGCCACTTGCTAATTTTGACTATGGGCAAGTTACTTAATTAAAGATAATCATTGTCCTGTCTAATTTACAGGGTTGTGGTGAGAGTGAGATAAAATAATCTAAGTAAAGGAGCATAATAGAAAGTGCTATTACATATGTTTTTATTATTAGGGTAAAATAGTTAACTCCCAGTCTAGCTGGTGTCTGACACTCTCTTTGTAGCACCTTGTTGTGGAGATTTCTTGTCTTAGGTGGGAATTTGAACTAAATGGCTCAAATCTCTTCCAATTCATATATACAATGATTTTGCCACATAAATCTATTACTTCACCATTTCTGTAAGTTGTACTTTAAAGTTTTGACTATATAAACCCTGAGTTAAAATATTAAAGTATTAGATAAAAATTATGTAAATCAACATGCAAGAAATACCAAGAAGCTTGTTTCATTTATAGGTGGACAAATACCTTAAACTGAAATCCTCTGTGTATAATTCTCTAGGAAGGGGGATAATTCAAATGTCTGATTTTCCCCAGAATTTATGAACTCTCTGTATATCAGCTCTGCAGCCATGTTTACCAAGCTGCAAGAAGAAAGGAGATCCCTTCAACTAAAATGTCAGTGATTGGGTTTTAAGGAATTTCAAATTACTAAGAAGGTCCCAGACACTTAGTGACTCCCTAGTGATTTGAAAATCTTGCTGGCTGCTGGCAGTAGTTTGCATGGAGACTGAATTTTATCTCAGCCCTTTTGAAAAAGTAAAGAAGCTACAAATCCAGTGGCTGTTCAAAACAACAAAGAAGGGTTGAGGTGCTTTTGGCTTCTAACAGGAGTGTCTCTGAATTCCTCAAGGAATTCCAGGCCTAGAGTTGATCCAGCTGGCAGGAGGTATCGATCTCCACTTGAATTCACTGAATAAATAATGGTTGCCATAGTTATTGAGCAGTCGCAACTGGTTGGAGAGCAGGGAAAACTCCATGGCACCTTCTGTGAGTTTGGCCATGAGAAAGTCTGGTTACGAGGTTCCACAATCAGCCCCCTCCCGAAATCCAGCCAACACACTGTTCAGTTTCTTTATCCTAATAATGAATATGGGATCTTGAATATTATATGAGATATGAGACACTGAAAGGAAGGGAAAGCTTAAATCAATGGATTGGTATTTTATTCTGAGAAATGCATCTCTCCCTGGGTTATGAATCTAACTTGATACATCTCAGCGTTAATAGAATTTAGTATTAGCAGGATGATGTTTGGTCATGTTATAGCTAGTAGAGGGACTCACAAAAGACCAAATCTATCTTGTGCTATTTTAACATTATTATGCAAACAGCACTAACCTGGAAATTTTAAGAGAAAGGAAAAAGCTATCCAACAACCCCGTGAGTATTTTCACTTTTTTGTGTCTCCTTCTGTATATGCAGAAATCATTTTTGCATAGATGGAATCACATTTAGATGTGATTTAATATTCTACTCTTTAATGTTGTAAATACTTTCCATGTTGCTTCACAGCCTTCATATTTGTCTGTTTTGATATCTACAGAATCTTCCATTATATGGATGTACCCTCATTTACTTAACAGTTGCCCTATTCTTCAACTCTTTACCTTTTTCCGGTTTTTTGTTTATTTGTTTCATTTGAGGGAGGATTTCTTTTGGTAATATACCAAATGTCTCCATGCATACACAGTTTATTCTTCTGTTAAATTTTTCCTTTGGATAAATTCCCAAGAGTGGGATTACTTGTCAGAGGCTATGAACGTTTTATAGCTCTTGAAATTTACTGCCAAATTTGCAGCCTGCTTTTTTGCTTTTGGGGGAAAAATAAAACTTTGGGCGGAACACCAGTGCAGGCAGAATTTCTCTTAAAGTTCACTCTTGGGTGCTTCCTCTGAGACTGAAACATGGGGACTATGTATTTCGTAAAGATAAGCCCTAGGAGGCAGGTTTGCACCTGGGCTGATTAGCTAATAGTCTCCTGAGGAAAGCAAAATCATGCACTGCAGAGCCTGGGAATTAGGAGATCTTACTGCCTTTTGTTAGACATTGTAGATACCAGCCACTTGCCAAGTGTCAGGTGTTGTCTTAGGTGCTGACTATACCATGTGTGTAGTACTCTGCAGTCAACAGAATATTTTTCCATAACATCATCTTAGTTTAGCCTCACAATATCCCAGGGAAGTGGGTTTTATTATAATCATACTTTTTCTTTTAATTTATTGTGTAATGTTTAAGATACACAGGGAGAATACAACTAAGAATTATAGATCTGCCACCCAGTAATTCCCATTTTCCTATAGAGACACTGAACCTTACAAAGATTAGGGTACCTGGCTAGGAAGTGATAGAACCAGAACTGGAAGTCAGGTCTGTCTGACTCCACGTCCACTGCCTTTTTCCCTGTAGAATGTTGCATTGAGATGAGATGCCTGCCAGTTTAATCCACTGAGATATTGCTGGCAATGTTCATGGTTGTACTGTAATGTAATTATAACACATCAGAGCTGAATGGGACCTTAGAGGTCATTAAATCCAACCTCCTCCTTTTATAGGGCTCTAGAGAGAGAAGAACTTGCCCAAGTCTTATACAACTAGCCAAACTGAGGACAATATAGATTTCCTGGATCCAGACCTCTTTTATTTGAGACAAGAAAAGAGGATGATGTTTGGATAATTGCTTTGCTTTTCTGATTGGCTTTTGCTTCAAGGAAATAACTTTTCTAACAAAAGTATCCCCAACTGAAAACAAAATAAATTTAGTAAAATCTAGAAACCAATGCTTGATTTCCCATTAGAAGGACATCTTCCATCTCTCAAGGATTATGATTTTACATGTAAATGGACTGAGAGAGAAAAACTTTGAAATAACTGGAGCCAAGCTCTTCCCTTAGAGAAGAGGCTCTGATATCTAAATGCTGAGGCCAAGCAAAGTGATTTGTATTGGAGGTCAGACTCCTTTCTCATTACAGGGAGATGCAACATTGCTCTGGAGCAAGAGGCCAGAATCTGCCTCAGAAGACTAGATTCAAGTTCCAGCTTTTTTTTTTTTTTTGAGACAGGATCTTGCTCTGTTGCCCAGGCTAGAGTGCATTAATACAATCATAGCTCACTGCAGCCTTGAACTCCTGAGTTCAAGCAACCCTCTTGCCTCAGCCTCTCAAGCAGCTGGGACGAAGGGCACGTGCCACCGTGCCTGGCTCATTTTTTTTTTAAATTTTTTGTAGAGACGGGGTCTCACTATGTTGCCCAGGCTGGCCTCAAACCCCTGACTTCAAGTGACCCTCCTGCTTTGGCCCCCCAAAGTGCTGGGATTACAGGCCTGAGCCACTGCACTGGCCCAAATTTCAGCTTTTAGCAGTTATGTGACTTTGGGAAAATCATTTACCTTATATGTAAAATAGATCATAATATTTAACTTGGGCATCATTTTATATATTGTTTTGTAAAATATAAACTACCGGTATTCATGTATTGATATGTTATAAAGTGCCTGTTCCACATCATTGTGGGCCTCTTCCCCTTCTCTTTGACTTTTCCATCTCCACAGCAGGAGGACATGTGTATTTTGTACAGAGTGCCAGGTGTAGTCAATAGGTGTTTCAAAGGAGGGGAAAACAAGGAAGAGAAAAGCTGGATTCTCCTCAGTGCTGATTATCATGAAAACACAAGAATGCACTTTATATTGGGTCTTGCCGGGCAGCAATTGCATTAGCAAATAGAACATACAGCCTCCCCACCTCCCTCAAGTGAGTCTGTCAAGGTGAGAACATTAATTCAGCTGCCTGGATGTGTTTCTGTAGCACTCTGAAAAACAGTTGCCTTCTGACAGGGCTTTTGTGAGAGCTAACTAGGATAATGGGTACAAAATAATAACCATGCTGCTGTTCATTCAGTGTGGGCAAGTACCAGGAACTGGGCTTCACTTGTGTTATCTACCTAAGTCGGTCCTCCTAGAAACCCTGAACTGGGTATGATCATCATCTTCATCTCGTAAGGAAATTGGGGCTCAGAAGTTAAGAGACTTACTCAAGGGCACATAGCAGGTAAGTGGCAGGACTGGGATTCAAACCCTGGTGTTGTTTGATACCAACAGCGGTGAACTACCTCTAATAGGGAGGGTACTTCGATTGTAAAATGCCATCCCAGCTGGCAGAACAGGACACAGACCTCAATTAAGGATTTGAAGTGTCTTAAGGTGTGTCTGCCTCCTAAACTTGGCCTTTTCTATTCCTCTGCAGAACGACATGGGTTAAAAGAACCAAAGAGAGTGGAGGAGCTATGCAACAAGATCACAAGCAGCTTAAAAGACCACCAGAATAAGGGACAGGCTCTGGAGCCCACCGAGCCCAAGGTCCTGGGTGCCCTGGTAGAACTGAAGAAGATCTCCACCCTGGGCCTCCAGCGCATCTTCTACCTGAAGCTGGAAGACTTGGTGCCTCCACCTATGATCATTGAAAAGCTCTTCCAAGACACCCTACCCTTCTAACCAGGAGCAGCCTGGGCAGGGAGCCGCCGCATTTGCTAGCACCTGCTTGCTAAGCAGCAAAGGGATGGGTCTGGACACCTACCAGTTCCTGCCCTTCCTTAAGGGAAAAGCAGCTCCTGTAGAAAGCAAAGACTTTTTTTTTCTGGCTCTTTTCCTTACAACCTAAAGCCAGAAAACTTGCAGCGTATTGTGTTGGGGTTGTGTTTTATATTTAGACTTTGGGGGTGGGATGGTAGGGAGGTATAGTTCATGAGGGTTTTCTAATAAATTGCTAACAGAGCACTTTTGGACGATGCTATCCCAGCAGGAAAAAATAAAGGATAATATAACTGTTTTAAAACTCTTTCTGGGGAATGCAATTATAGTTGCTTTGTATTTAAAAACAAGAACAGCCAAGGGTTGTTCGCCAGGGTAGGATGTGTCTTAATATCGATCCCTTTAAAATACGCTTCCTGTATCAAAGGTACATATGTATTGCAAACAAGGCAGAAATTCCCTTTTCTTAATTTCTTTCTTCCTTTAACAAATGGTGAAAGATGGAGGTAGGTAATCATACAAATCAGACATAGCAAAACAATAATGGCCGTTTGCTTCCATATACAAGTGCAATTTTTAAAAGTGTTGTCTTAGTCTTGTTTATTAACTCCTTTATATGAAAATAAAAAGGAGGCAGTCATGTTAGCAAATGACACATGCTAATTTTCCTAGCAGAGGCTTGATTCACCTGCCCTGTAGAACCCTTCTGAGGTATGGCCCATTCAAGACTTTTAGGCTATTCTTGATGGAACCAGATCCCTGCCTTGACTGTCCAGTTTTCCTGAAGGGGGATCAGATTAAAAAAATAGATTACATATAACTGTTTTGGTTGTATTCTATCAACCCCACCAAGAGTCCCCTAATCTTGCTTCAGTTGTAGCAACTGACTGATATATTCATTCAGAAGCAGTCAGTCAAGTATTTGATTCTGAGATGAGAACATGCAAATAAATAGGAATTGGGTCATACAGGGTAAGCACCAGGGATAGTAAGGATTTTTATATATATAATTTAATTTTTGTTATTGGTTAAAGAGACAATTCTGGAGAGCAAGCAAGTCTTTTTAAAAAAAAAATAGTATGAATGTGAGTACTAGAAAGGATTAGTGGGCTGCGTTTCAACATTCCGTGTTCGTACTCCCTTTTGTATGTTTATACTGTTAATGCCATATTATTATGAGATAATTTGTTGCATAGTGTCCTTATTTGTATAAACATTTGTATGCACGTTATATTGTAATAGCTTTGCCTGTATTTATTGCAAGACCACCAGCTCCTGGAAGCTGAATTACAGAGTAATTAAATGGGGTGTTCACAGTGATTTGGGTACACCAATTAGAAATTAAATAAGCAAATATATATATATAAATATAGCAGGTTACATATATATTTATAATGTGTCTTTTTATTAACCATTTGTACAATAAATGTCACTTCCCATGCCGTTATTTTATGGTTCATTTGCAGTGACTTTTAAGGCAGTACTGTTTAGCACTTTGATATTAAAATTTTGCTTATGTTTTGCTAAATTCGAATAATGTTTGAAGATTTTTAGGTCTAAAAGTCTTTATATTATATACTCTGTATCAAGTCAAAATATCTTTGGACATTTTGCTAAGAAACAAACTTTGAATGTTGAACTGATGTCACAGTAGTTTTTGTTAGCTTTAAATCATTTTTGCTTTAGTCTTTTTAAAGGAAAAATAACAAAATTATGCTGTTTATATTATCATTAAATTATACAATCAAACAAATGCCAAATGAATTGCCTAATTGCTGCAAAGTATAACCCGGATAGGAAATCATGTACTTTTTTTTTCCAGGAGTCATTCTGATATTTGATCATGTATTATGTTTGTTTGAGCTTTTATGAAAGATTATTATTTTTATATCAAGATTATAGGACCTGGAATGTTAGGATTTTGAAATGTTAGACTTGGAAGGGGCCTGACTTGTCAACTAGTCCAACCTCCTGAAATTCATAAAGGAGAACACTGGAGCCTATTGAAGGGTAAAGAGTTACTCAAGGTGAAACATCTAGAAACAGAATCAAGGCTAAGACCTAATTCACTTTTCCATAGTCTTTTTTTTTTCCTCAACTAACTGCATCTGTAGGAAATCAGGCTTTTAAACATAACCACTAATATTTACATTTTACCTGAAGATAACCATGAGTAAAGTAGTACTTTTGCATTAATTTTTTGAGCTTATATGCAAACATAATAAACATTATTAAATATCAGGAAAGCTAACATTTCATGCAAGATAGCTTCAGACCAAATTCAAATTGAATTTGAATAAATTAGAAATACTGTGCATACATAACCTCCTTGTGCACCATTAGTATTTGGAAAGTTAATCCTTGTTTTTGTCGTGTCTGTAAAGGAAGAGTAAAACAAAACAAAACAAAGCAGAGCCCTAGAGAAATGCTGTTAACTTTTTATTTTTACACTCATAAGATTTAAGGAAAAGACATTTTAGCCATCATATCTATTGGATGGGAGGAATGAAGGAGCTTTTCTAGTAATAGGTCCAGACACTAGTCCTGAAAATAAAGATCATAGTATGTTCTTCTGTCTTCCATAGTTATTACAACTATGAGGGCCTCGCAAGTCATCTATCGATTCAACTCTCTTTTTTTGTCTTAATGTTGCACATAAGTTTATACAGAGTGGATGACCACACTAGCTCAGAAGAGGACAACAAGTATTAAAGCAGGTAATTCTTCCCCTAGTGGGAGAGCTCTCTCAGTGTGAACATGCCTTCTGTGGGCGGAAATCAGGAATCCACCAGCTGTTAATGGAGAGTGCCTTGCTTTTATTTCAGACAGCAGAGTTTTCCAAAGTTCCTCTGCTCCTCTAACAGCATTGGTCTTTAGTGTGTGTTAACTTGTGGTTTGAAAGAAATGCTCTTGTACATTAACAATGTAAATTGAAATGATTAAATTAAATTACATTTTATCAATGGCTATTTGTGTGTTGAATAAGCACGCTTCATTTAACAATTTCCTTTTAATTATTACATAATAGTATTTGCTGTGAACTCTTAAACACATCCCAAAATTGATTTTTTTAAAGGCTTAGTGATGCTGAAAAATTAATAGGCATTGTAAATTGGAAATATATTCAACCTCGCTTATTGGAAGGAAGGGCATTCTAAATTCAATAACCATTTATTGACTACTTCCTGGGGGCAAAGCACTGCTGGGTACTTTGAGGAGATAAAAACATGCACAGTGTATGAAACTCCATTTTTCTTTCAACTGTATATAACTTAAGTGGAGTTAACAATTTGTTGCCTAAAAGTATTCTTTAGAGGTATGAAAGATTCATTTTTATATCAAGATGATAGGATATTAATTGTGAACCAAAATTTCCCAGAATCAGGATTAGGTTCTCAAAGACTGATCAGTGCTCTCTGCCTTTTTATTCTAGCCATTACTACTATGTTGCTTAGAAACCCCTTCACAGGAAATGCAAATGCAAATTCTATTCATCTCTACCCAAAACATCATATATTCACAGTTAGTGCAAATATGATTTTTGTTTGTTGATGGCTCAAAAGTACAAATGTAGGAGCTCTGATAATTTACTTCTTCAGTGGGTATTTTCTGTGACATCTGAGTGTGGTCTAGGAATCAAACCATTCTTCCTATTTCTCGGCAGGACCTTCATTACACAGCTATAAAATATGACTAGTAAGAATGAGAGAGATGGTAGAGTGCCATCTTGTATATGAATTCAAATATAGATACTTGTATCAATAACTATATATATATACTTGGCAAAATGGGAAAAAATAAGAGGAGAGGGGTAATCCCCTTCCCTAGGGATGACAGGGACAACAGTCTGGTTTGAACTGGGAGGAAGCAGGAAGGTCAGGGCTAAATAAGTGGCACTTGCCTGTATGAGTTAAATGCACAAAGATAAACACAAGAAGCTCATCATTCCAGCCTGGGCAACATAGTGAGGCCCTATATCTACAAAAAAATAACAAAAATTAGCTGGGCATGGTGGCATGCATGTAGTCCCAGCTTATGGGAGACTGAGGTAGGAGGGTTGCTTGAGCCCAGGAGTTGAAGGCTGCAGTGAGCTATGATCGTGCCACTGCACGCTAGCCTGGGAGACAGAGTGAAACCTTGCCTCAAAAAAAAAAAAAAAAAAAGGTTAATTGTGGACTTTTTAAATTGTGGTAAAATGCACATAACATAAAATTCACCATTTAACCATTTTTAAGTGTACAGGTCAGGAGTGTTAAGTATATTTACTTAACATTTACTTAACACTTAACACTAATTTGCTGTTGTGCAACCAATCTCCAGAAAGTTTTTTCATATTGTAAAACTGAAACTATTTACCCAATAAACAACAAATCCTCATTCCCTCATTCCCCTGGCACCATTCTACCTTCTGTCTCTATGAATCTGACTACACATATAAGTGGGATCATATAGTATTTGCATTTTCATGACTGGCTTATTTCACTTAGCATAACGTCCTCAGGTCCATCCATGTTACCGCATATGTCAGAATTTCCTTCCTTTTTAAGGCTGAAAATATTCCATAACATGTATATACTACATTTTGTTTATCCATTCATCCAACAATGGACATTTGGGTTGCTTCCACCCCTTGGCTATTGTGAATAATATCGCCATGAACATGCATGTGCATATATCTCTTTGAGACCCTGTTTTCCATTCTTTCGGCTGTTGACTTTTGAGCTTAAGTATGATTTAAGTGCTTTCCAAGGATAATCTTGATTACACATGGTTTCTTGCCTTAGGCATTGATTTCAGAGCCTCCCCATTTCTTTCTCTTAAGGAGGCACCTGAGCTTGCTCCATGAGCAAGGCTGTTTATAAACCTTTGTTCCAGGGCTAGGCTAAAAACTGAAAGGACTAAAATCTAAGAGGCTTAAATGGTCCATAATCTCAATCAAACACTCTTCTTTGAGAAGGCCTATCCTTCACCCAACCAGTTGAAAATCCCACCTAGTTTCAAAGAGGGCTTTTGCACCTTCTATTATGTAACATCTCTCATCATGAACAAAATTCTTCCAGAAATACTTCAGAAAATTCTTCCTCAGGGTTGTACTGTGATGTTGACATAAGTAATGCTTTTTATTTGTGTGTTCTGTTTGGCTTGTGTTGCAAGCACACTGTCCTTCCTGTTCTATTTTTTCTGTCCCTGTCTGACTCATTTCATAGCTCCCTCAGTGAGCCCAGGGATCATCAGCCCCATCTCTGACTCCCTGCTGTGATGCTAGCCATCCCCCATACTGGCCCTCTAAGGGTACTTGATTTGAGAGGAAAAGAAGAGAGAATGAGCATTTATTAAACATCTATGATGTGTGCCAGATACTCCAGTAAATGCTTTCATCCATAATCTCACTTAATGTTTACTCTTTCTAAGAAGGCATTGATATGCCCAGTCTGAAAATGGGGAAAGAGGTGTAGAGAGGTTAAGTACCTATCAGCAGGATCCCATAGCTACTAAGATTTGAACACACATCGATATGGTTCTACTACCCCTAACTACCTTCATGGAGCTGTCATTAGACCCCTGCTCCTTCCCATAACACAAGGGTCATTTAACCTCAGTTCCTTGCTCATGAGCAAATGGTAAGAATTCTACCTGGGTACCATAGTTATTATCCAATACTCTGATCCAACCTCATTTTCCTTCCCATCGATCTTATCACCTGTCTTGCTAATTCTTCAGATTCCTTGACTCCACAGGTCCCCACCATTCTATCTCCACAGTACTCAAACTTTATCCCTCACCAGCCTTAGACCAACTGAGCCTTGTAATAATGAGGCCCTGCTCCAATTTTAGAATCCCTTTCTGGCGTTTTCCTCTCTAAACACAAACGTTCTCTATCCTCAAAATGGACTTCAATCATTCAACCTCTCATAACTCTTTTCTGTCTCCAGCCAACCTCCCAATTTCCAGGTGATTTAAAACTTCCACTCTGACTCTGTGGTCAATGGCTTCAAAGCTGTCCTCATTTGGACTCTACAGCCACCTCTCTGTCCCCTTCTGGCCACTTTCACCAAACCCATCACCCCCAAGACTTGCTTTCTTTGTCCCTGCATAGAGATGCTGGAACAAATGCAGAGAACCAGGCAATGCTTGCTCATCTCAGAGTTGTTGTTTTCCTAGCAGGTGGCCTTCACTTTGTCCTTTGAGTGTATGTGTTACCTAACACTGTGATCCCCAACCCCCCGGGTAGTGGACCTGTACCAGTCCGTGGCCTGTCAGGAACTGGGCCACACAGCAGGAAGTGAGTGGCAGATGAGCAAGCGAAGCTTCATCTGTATTTACAGCTGCTCGCCATCGCTTGCATCACTTCCTGAGCTCTGCCTGAGCTCCGCCTCCTCAGATCAGCTGGAGCATTAGATTCTCATAGGAGCGTGAACCCTACTGTAAACTGCGCATGCGAGGGGTCTAGGTTGTGCACTCCTTATGAGAACCTAATACCTGATGATCTGAGGTGGGGCAGAGGTGGTGATTTAGTCTTACTACCTTTTTATTTTTTTATTTTAGCATATTATGGGGATACAAATGTTAAGGTTACATATATTGCCCATCCCCCATCCCCCCTTGAGTCAGAGCCTCAAGTGTGACCATCCCCCAAACGTTGCACATCTCACTCATTGTGTTTGTATGTACCCATCCCCTCCTCCCCCCTCCCACCTGCCCGACACCCGATAAATGTTATTCCTATATGTCCACTGAGGTGTTGATCCGTTAATACCAATTTGCTGGTGAGTATATGTGGTGCTTGTTGCTTGAATGGTTTCACTCCAGAGGGGCTGTGAATATAAGGGCACTGTGACTATTATGTCTAGCATAGTAGCAAGCTTGACCTGGCTCATGGGGGCAATTGTGAGGGGTAGGTTTGATAGAATCATTTCTTCTTGATCACCATAGTGCCTAGCACAATGCCTGGTTCACTGGAAACCTTAGAAAATGCTTGCTGAGTGACTTCAAGTTAGCTATTCATTGATGGGCGTAAGAGCTGGTAAAACATCTCAGATTCCCAAGAGATAAATTATGTCACGATTTCCAAAGTTGTTATCCAGAGTGTGTAGTTTTATCTTTTCTTAACTTTAATGCAAGAGACAGACAGTGAGAGAGAGAGAGAGAGAGAGAAAGAAATCAACACAACCCCAAGGAAGGTTTGTTTTTTCCTTTTCCTTTAGAAAGCAGCTGTCAGTTTAACTTATCCCAAAATACTGTCAGTGATGAGCATGACTGAAAATGCGTTTTATCTGTAATTAGAGAGATTACATTAAACACTATTATTTGCAGACACACATTGAATTAACCCTAATCGAGGCTAGCAAATAGTAGAGCCTGCCTATTTCTCGCCTCAAAATTTTTAGAAAATTGTGACAGTTGACACACAAGGGACAATGCTGACGAGATTCCTTTCCATCAAATGCCAGACAGTAATTGTAATTGCCTTTAAAAATGTTTTAAGCAGTTTCGTTAGTAAATCAGAAGTTGCCACAAATCATGCTGATAGTTTCTAAACATGGGGGCTGTTGACTGTGCATTCTGATATGAGTTTAATGAATTGATTTTCTAAGGAATTTAACATTGCATCTGTTTTCAGGTGTAATTAATTCACTCTGATTAATGTGATTAGCATGGAGATTAGTGGATTACACATGATACCCTTTATTTATTCACTTATTTTTAATCTGCCATACTGTCCATTGGGAAATGATATAAGTGATTTTGGGAGAAACATCTTGCTGCTGGCTCTGATCATTTTGGATTTCTCCAAAGCAGAATCCTGGTAGGAATTCACTGATTATTCACAGTCTGTGCAGCAATGTACTTTTGTTTGAAGGACTTATTAAAGTTTACCCAGTCCCCACCTTTAAGGATCTTATAATCCAGAGGAGAAGATGAGACAAACATTCCAGTGCAAGTTGCTTGCAAGGAAGAATGACTGT